ACATGGACGCAATGACCCGAGGCAGAGGTAGCTCTCCCAGTGCCCCTTTCGCCAAAGTAAACTCAACTCAGTGGTTAAGCAGAGAATGTTTAAACTGAGATATTAGCTTTAAAATGTTGTATATAGAATGGACAGAGAACGAATGAGATCATTAATTCTCAATCGGCGTACAATCAGCATCTGATGCGAGCTACAGAAAACCTGCATATTTCACTGTCACGAGATCGAAAACCTGTCTATTTTTACAACTATAAATATCAGGCAGTGTAAATCAAATTTATAATGATTACATAAGCGTATGTCAAGAGAAAAGTAAAAGTTCCTTGTGAATACCTTCTGAATAAACTCTTGCCAGTCAATGTTACATAACAGTGATGGAATACATGTGCATTTACTTATTAGTTTGACACAGTGATAGTCAGTCAGCATCCTGAATTAATTGATTAGCCACATCTTCATAATTCTGCAAATTATTTTTCTAACTTGGTAATTGGCTATGTTTCATGAGAAAGAAAAAGAAAAATGAGTCCATTATAATATTATTTCAGCTATGCAATAATGTAGTGCACCAGTTGTATCTACCGTAGATAATAATAATTTTTACCAAACCAAAGGAGAACTGTTCAGTTGCAGTTTACGACCTCATTCATTTTCTTTTGAAAAACTGGTAGTATAGTGTTTTTTACATTGAACTAATGACCGATAGTCTCAAGTTCAAACCTTACCAAAAAAGTTGACCGACCACCTTAGGTAAGTGTGCCACAGACTCAATGGGAAGGCTAAATCCTTTAACTAATGTGACTTTGGGGGGGAACCTTGATAAAGGTCCGCAGGTGCTTGTTTTTTATCAGTCCTGGTTGATGCCTGGATAACGCATTAAATTGCCATTTGATAGAGAGATGACCACACAGTCGTGTCCAAGACATGAATATGGTTTCAGTTACAAAATGCACTGTATGTCAGCACTTGAACTTGCAATTTAGACATAAAAAACTTACAGTGACATTCAATTTAAAGAAGACACCAATACGACTAAATGTTGAAGGCCATTTTCAAGACCATTTAATCTGGTAGTGTTATTTGCAGGATAAATGAAAACTAAAAATACTAATACAACACACAGGGCAATGCGATTGACACCATATTGAACTGAAAGCTTGACCTGTGTTACTTGACTGGTTGCTAAGGTGCTGAATCATGGTCATGCATGATCTTGTCATTTTATATGCATTTTATCTGCCATATTCTGCCGCTCAGAGTTATTTAACCTAATCAAATAGACAATGTTGCAATACAGGTGGAGCTGAACTGAAATTTAGTACATCAACAAAATTGTCAACAAACAAGCTGCTCTCTAATTGGATTGGTGTTGGGCAAGTCATAAAGTAAATAAATCCATTATTAAGACTTTAAATCAGTATTGGGAAGAAATTAAACTTGAAAGTGGTTTTCTTGTTTTGGGGAAGATGGAAAACAGTCGGTTGGTATGGGGCTGCATTCTGGATTCGAACAAACGAACTTGACCCCCATCCGTGTCTCAACTAGTCGCCTATTTGTAGCTTACCACTCCCAAATCAAACACACAAGCTCTCTTTGACAGTTTACAATGTCACAAATCTCAAGGATACTTGACACTACCAGTTTCAATTTCCTTGCTCGAATCAGGAGAATGCGACAACAAACTTGGTTGAAAGAAATTCTTAGCCGTGGCTGACTCGGCTTTGTATCGATATTATATTTTTATTAGACGCATAAAATCCTTAGAAGGATAAAAAGGGTCTTACAGAAAGAAATTAAAAAAAAAAAAAAAACTACATCTAAAAAATAAACAAAAATAAAAACTTT